CTAGGAGATTTTAGCTAGCTTTTGATGGGGAAGCGCGTGGGGCTTGGCGTTGAACTTGGGTTAGGGAGGGCTATATTAGTTTTTGTTATAGGGGTCTGTGATTTGGTTCGGTTGCTGGAATACGAGTTTTATTTTGGCGGTGGGGATTTTGGTTTCGGGGGATGGGTTTTTGGGGAGGGGAGGTATTTGGGGTGGTCGGTTTGGGTTGTTTGAGACTGTGGTGGTGTTGATATATGGGTTTTGGTTTGTGGCTGGTGGTTATTGTTTTTTTCTTTGTGTTGATTTACAGAATATAGTGGGAGGTTGTTTCTGGCGGTGAGCTCTCGTGGTAAGAGTATGTATGAAAAGGATGGATGCGGCCATGTAGGGATTTACTAGTTGTAGTCTCCAGCTGTAGGAAATAAGTATTTCGCTGACGGCTGAGATATGCTATATCGTTGAATCGAGTATTATCATCGAGTATCTCGATGCGATCAGTATGTCTATGACGCTGTGACCTTCCCACATCTAGATTGTAGTGTTGAAATGTCTTCGAGTTCTCTAGAATGGAATCTATTTCGCTTGGCTAAGTATGGATGGTTCTTGTGCAGAAGTTCAATATTTGCTCAAAATGAGCTGATAAAGACCGGTCGTGTCACAATTCGCACAGATTCATCTACGTGATGGAGCCATGTCTTGTTTTCACTCAGTGCACCAAACTGTCAGCCTCAATTATGGTGGTACATTAAAGGTGAAAAGCCAGACACGGGAAGTCTGACTTCTGGATCAATAGATAGCTTGTAGAAATTAAGACATTCCTGTTCGAGGATATGGGAAAATGGTACTTCTTCAAGGTATCTTGTTCTGTAGACTGCACCATACCCGTGTCCCGCGTCCTGTTAGCTTCTGTCTCTATGCACAGGCATGCCCAATAAGGGGTAGACTGATTTGAAGATATATGCTGAGGGCGATATACAGATCAATCAGCATTTGACACAACAGTGTTGGAGGAATCTTATTATATATGCATCGCTGAAAAGTGTCGGGTTGGACACTTAAAACTGAGACAAATGCCCTAAGTTGGGATTATGCTCTAGGAAACCAGAATGTTGCACTGTTGTGAGAAACCTCCGAATGGATTCATACCACGTTGCTGACTGATCGACGAGGCACCCATTCATTGGAAGGCATCCGATCTGCTTGTTTGATTGTATATCGCCAACATATCACATCCTCATAAGATTTCTCGATATTTCCTCCAACGTTTAGTTTGAGGGAGGGCAATATCTGAAAAGTGGCGGGTATATGAAAACAGCGTAAGGACCCAGTGTGTGCAATAGGGTCTATTAAATGGTTCACTTTATCGTTAATCAGACACACACGCACCGAAATAGTCACTTAATCGTCCACAGACAAGCTTCAAGTAACCAGCAGAAGGAGCCTATGCTCTGCAGGTGAAAATGTGGGCCATCTGGCTGGATCGTCTATGTGTTCTTGAGGGACCAGATATCTTAGAAGTATATCTTGTCCCATTCACAACGATAATCCACTTGCTTTCACTTCTCAAGGTATGACCTGTGGCCCAGAAATCCCTTGAACTCGTTTATGTACACTGAAGCATATTATCTGCACAATTTACGCTCGAAATATTATCGACATAGCATATTGACGACAGAGTTATCTCGAAATTGAGCCTTTGTGGAGTGTGAATCTCGGTCGGACGGCTAGCAGTACTGCCATAATCTAGATGGCAACGTGCTTGAGGTTTCGTTGGGTGACATTGCTGTCCCAACAGAACAGTTGCGTTCATGCAGTACAAGAGGTTCGTCGAGAGCCCGATCGACACAGAATAGTAGGACCCTGAGGAGTAGATTGCGCGGCTGCGGAGATGTGAAAGTGAGGGAGAATGGAAACTGGATCCATTCAGGAGATGTCATGAAGCGAAAACCGGAACATTCGGCAGTTGGATGTAGTTATGTTCTGCCGCTTCCATATGGAATTGGTAGCGTTAATCGCTGGTAATCAATCAAATTGAGCACTTCTGCCCATATCCTCACTTGAACCATGGGGTACATGTGACCTTCCCTTGCCCCGGTTCTAGACTAGACTATTGGCAGTTAGCGTCATAGCCACGTGAACCATACCCTATTTTCCAGGCAAAGGCAAATTGAACCACCACATTACATCACCAGTCACTTCCTTACTGACTTTCGATAGCGGCCGATCTTATAACGCAAGTCACTTTTTTGGGTATCGTGCACGTTCTTGATCGGTTGTTATATCCCGCAACGCATAAGGGGTACTGTCTCCATCTGGTTCGTGCTATTCGTGCTCCAAAAACCAAAAAGGGGGATCTGCTGCCCTAGTTCCTTGATGTTCCGGGCAGGTGGAGGCCGGACGCGGATCTTGCATGGCTTTCCGGCATGTGCGCTCACTATATGGTAATTAGTAGGTACTAAGCTTTTCAAGTCCCTCATATTTGAAGTCATTAATGACTAATACAGCTTGCCTTCTATTGCAGACCAAAAAGCAGTCACTTGGCATACTGATTTCCATATGTTGCATGGAATGTCAAATTAACCATGCCTTGTAACTGCCTGTCACTCATCCGTGGTGGCGGAACTTCTCCGATTTTGCTGTCTACCAGCACACACTGTGCTCCACATCTGTATCAGTTGTCTTGATTGAGTTTCAATGCTGGTGGTATTTTCTGCCGAACCACTGACTAGTGGTTTATGCCTGAGATATCCGCCAATAGCTGTGCCAAACCATGGTTCATAATTGAACCCTAGGCATGGAGCCCACCAAACCCAATTACCAGGCAGGTCCAGAAAAACCTTAGCTACCTGCAGATCATTGTACAGGACCCGGGTAATAGGGAAGTTGCGCCCTTTCCCACTTTATAGTTACTTGTCTCTGCCCACATGGGGGTTAAACTGCCTTCTTGCTTTGCTCCTGCATCGAGCTTGACTGAGTTTCAACCCCAGGGCTGAGTCAGGGACATTGCTGTTCAGACCTTCGTTTCTTATACTGAACGGCAGCCTCATTCAAGGCCGACGCTCCACCACACTATCTTCTGAAATCTCTGTGGGTCGCATTTTTGTCGTTGGTCCATGCGAGTATAAGACGTGGGCAAGGAAAAGCCCCTTCCTGGTGTCTCATCGTTCAAGTCAAGACGCCACCATATCGTCAAGATGAACTACCGTAGCGAATCGATCATCATCGCCACTGCGGTGTCCATGGGCATATCTCTAATATCGATGTTCCTGAGGTGTTTTGTGCGGTTGCGTGTTGTGCGGGCGTTCGGAAAGGATGATGCCACAATGGTAGTGGCCATGGTACGTCTGGTAGTATTATCCGAGCATGGATCGTGACTAACAGTGTCAACACTTCTAGATCTTCAACTTGGCGTTTGCCATCTGCACTTTCGCTGGTGCTAAGTACGGGTTCGGGCAACAGATGACCTGGTTTATAGACAAACCGGGCTACCTTCGATACGCTTTGCTGGTGCGTTTCTATTGATCGGCTCCTCATCCCCGATATGGTCTAACATCCCATGTAGTACTGGTGGCTCGGGCAAAATTTCTACCTAGTCACTGCCATTGTCGCAAAGGTCTCCATCGCCATGACCCTTCTTCGTATTACTCCCAACAAAATTCATGCTGCGATCCTGTACACTATTAGCGCATTGACGGTCCTTGTCGGGACGATGTTTCTCTTGGTCAGCATTTTCGAGTGTACACCGGTCGACTATTTCTGGAATCGCTTGACGAAAAGTGGTACATGTATCGATCCCAATGCATTGGTGGGGATTGCATATACAGCTAGCGTTGTGGCAGCGATTGCCGATTTTATTCTCGGGCTGTTACCATGCTTCATAATTTGGAATCTGCAAATGAATAGGCGGACGAAGATTGCCCTGGCGGGAATCATGGGCTTGGGCTGCATGTGAGTATTCCCGGCCAAGGCTATCACTATGAACTTTCCTCTAACCCTACGAACAGTGCCGGTGCTACCGTCATCGTCCGCATACCATACCTATCCGCCTATAAGCATGCAGACTTCTTACACGCCACCCATGCAGTGTCCATTTGCTCGAATATTGAGACCGGCGTGGGTATCACCGCCAGCTCTCTTGCGACCCTTCGCCCAATCTTCCGTGTCCTGCGCGACACGACTTCCGGCTCACGCAGCCGCAAGCGGCCCACTGAAAACAGCTATCCATTATCCAGCGTTGCGAATAACAGTGACAAACATCACTGGGCGGAGACGGCCGGCGGATATCACAGCATGTCTACAACCATTACCGGTCGTCAGCCGTCGATGCAGAATGTCAGTACAGAGAGCATCACACCGTTGTACCAGGGCATGAAGGTCGAGCGTTCGTTCCAAGTCGAGCTTGCATAACTTTCATGATTTGTTATGTTGACGTGTAATACCATTCATGTACATATTTATGATATATACCCCTATTGCTAGTAATACCCCGAAGTTAGAACGCGAATGAAAGAAGAATAACATTACATGTCGCCTCAGGCACCACTTGGCCCTGGCCCTCTTACTAAGAAAACGCTCCGCAGAGCTTGTTTGCATATGAAACAAACACCCACCACCCAAACCGTGATATCGTCATCAGCAGTTTGAAAAGCTCCATCCAACATATACAACATCATTAGCATACTTCTCCTGCATTGCGCATTAGACCACTTCACACTTCACACTAAACACAGTACATGAACCCAACCCTCAAGACTCAATAAGAATGGCCGACGCAGGCGGCTGGAGCACAATCGAATCAGACGAAGTACGCACACCTACCCACCACTCAACACAAGCAAGACTAACGAACCCCCTCTAAAAAAAACCAGGGCGTCTTCACCTCTCTCATCGAAAACCTAGGCGTCAAAGGCGTTCAATTCGAAGACTCATCTCGCTAGATGCCGACACGATCCGCTCACTAAGGTACATACCTCCTCACCACACCTCCCCCAAATCCACCCGTAACTAACAAGACATACAAAATGAAAAAAAAAAGCCCCGTCTACGGCGTAATCTTCCTCTTCAAATATCTCCGCGACCAAACCCCGACAACCCCCGAAGCCCCCATAGACGGAACATACGACAAAACCGCGCCGGAGAACCTCTTCTTCGCGGCGCAGACGATCCAAAACGCATGCGGCACGCAAGCCATCCTCTCCGTGATCCTCAACCAAGACAGCGCGTCATCAACGCCCTACCCCATCGACATCGGAGACGAACTCCGCTCCTTCAAGGACTTCACAACGGGGTTCCCGGCTGACTTGCGTGGCGAGGCGCTCTCGAACTCCGAGACGGTGCGCACGGCGCATAATGCGTTTGCGCGGGCGAGTCCGTTTGTCGATGAGACGGTGCGTACCGCGAGAGATGAGGAGGGCGATGTGTATCATTTTATTGGGTATACGGCGGTGAATGGGACGTTGTATGAGTTGGATGGGTTGCAGCCGTATCCGATTAGTCATGGGGAGTGTGATGCAGAGGGGTTTCCTGAGAAGGTAATTGGGGTTTTGCAGAGGAGGATTGCGAGGTATCCGGAGGGGGAGACGAGGTTTAATCTCATGGCTGTTGTGAGGGATTTGAGGGCGAGGGCGAGGGAGATTGGGGATGTGGAGATGCTGGAGAGGGAGCAGAGGAAGAGGCGGGCCTGGGATTGGGAGAATACCCTGCGGAGGTCGAATTTCGTTGGGTTTATTGGGGAGGTTATGAAGGGGGTTGTTGGGATGAAGGAGAAGGAGGGGAAGTTTGATGAGTGGGTTCAGAAGGCGAAGGGGGAGACGGAGAGGAGGTTGAGACGGTGATTCGATTTGTCTATCGTTCTCTTTCTTTTCTTAGCTGTTACGCCCTTGGTGGTTCTAGACTTTATGATCTGCTTTACATGATATACTGGATGTACACGATGTTAACGGTCAGGCAATATCAAATTGTTGGTATTCATGGCATAACCCGTAATGCTGTCATAAAGCTAGTGTATGTAAGTACATCGTGAGTCATCTCAATTACGCCGCACTGCCGAAATGTTGAAGACAGTTTGGTCACCAGTAATTAGGAAGTGCCTGCTTTGATTGCCACAGGCCATATTAGTAGTCGATAATGCGGGGTTTGATGTGTTGAACCAAATCTGCGGGCAATTCCTCCTCTCGAACGAGGTTTAATGACAACAAATCTGCCCAGAAGAACATGGCCCGGTCTTGCGCATAGGCAAGGTAATCAAATTCGTCGGTTTCCTCCACGTCAGTATCCGGTGGAGGGGTTGTTGAAGGTGTCCCCTCGGACTCTGTGCCATTGGTGCCGTTGCGATGGCCATTTGCTGCGGCATCGGCTGCAATACCCTCTTCCATTCCGGGTACCTTCGCTTGTACTATTCCCCATGCTACCCACTGCGCTGAGTTGAACACGCGCCAGAGCCGAGCCTGCTTGATCAGTGAACGGATTTCCGCTTCCGTCCGGTCCTCCTGGGCTTTTTCAACATCTACCAGACTCTGTTGATCCACATCGGGTCCCGCATCAAGGTCTAAAGGAGCGAGTGAGGTGATATTAGAAAGTTCTCCTGCTTGCATGAGTGGGGTTATAGATGGAGATGACCGCACGCCTAAGCCAGGTCGATGTGTTAAGTAAGCACTGATAAAGCGATGTTGCTGCTCCAGGGTGGGGAAGTCTTTGTTGTTGCATGCCCAGGATCTGTCTGGGTCGTGATAATTGTAACACCATTCAGTCTATCTGGTCAGCAAGAGAGAAACAATTTCTGCAGCACGAAAGGACTTACGAAATGGTTTGCGAACTCAAACCCAGGGAGATTCGCGGAAGCATACTCGAAATCAATGACAACTAGCTGCTTATGCTCATTTTCTGGTCGAAGGAGTGGCGACTCAGAGCTGGGTTCCATTCGAAGAAGATTACCATATTGAGTCTGCATAGTTAGCCCTGGTGTATATGATCTCCGGAGGAAGACGAAACTCACATCATTATGGGCAAAAACAAGTTGCCGCTTGATCTCCTGCATGCCACCATAGCCGTTTATAAGGTGGTTTCGGTAGTTGTCGACGGCTTTCCTGAATGTTGGCCACGAAACACCGCAAACAAAGCCTCGGCGTCGCCAAGGTTCTGCAGCCGCTTTAATATCATTGTGCTTGGACTGGATTTCCTTATCCAACCAGTTGGTGACTTGTTCGCAGCGGTCCACCCATTTGTCCCAGTTCTTAAATACCATCGGGCCCCCCTCCCTCTCGTTATCGAGTAATTCAATACCCTCATGCAGCTCCCTCATGCGCTTTGCGATTTGCTTCATTGTCCCGGGATCGCGCAGCTCTTTCGGAGTCAAAGGACGGGCCTCGAAGAACTCCTCAAAGCGGCCGTTATTGAAAGTTCCCAGCACTCGGGGCCCGATGTGCTTGCGCCCCAGACGACGTAGGATCTGTAATTCAGTTTCTCGGTCGATGAGGTGATCCACCTGTGGCCCGTAAATGCGCAGGAGCAGCTTCCTAGCTGCAAGTTAAATCGAGCCTTTTTCGAAGGTACGGCCATAGTACTTACGGTGGGGGTTTCCTGGGTACAAGGCTGTAGGAGCCATCCTCGGCCCTGGGGGGAGGAATATTCTGAGGCGGCGTGACCACATACACGGCATTGGTTAGCGCACCGCTCAGTCGAACTACACCTACATCTCCGGCGAGTTCCATCGGTAGCTTTCGCCACCCTTTGAGTTGTAGTGTGTGAGTGATACGCATGATCTCGCTCTTGAATACAAACCAAGCCTCCCGATCCAGGGCCCGCCTGGCATTTGCACCTTCTTCATTCTCATCATCCTCCGCACCACCCCCGCTGTACGCGAGTGTCTTAGAGTTGTCTAATGTCGCATCAACACTGGGAGCAGCTGAGTCAACATCTAGGTAATCAGATTCGGAGGCTGAGCCCCTCCGTAGGCCCTTTACATGACGCCGGCGGGTTGACCGCCGAACGGGGTAAACAGGCGCAGCGCCGTCACTGCGTGAAGCGGCGTACTGGATGAGGATCTTCTCCAGCTTGTCTAAGGCAAATACATTGTCGGCCCCATGGGAAGATGTCCTCTCCGAATTGGCGCCATCCCCATTGATAGCGTCTTCATCATCTTCATCATCCCCATCACTACCTGATCCATCTGGCTGTGTATGCGCTTTTACTTTGGGAGTTTTCCGCTTTGATTTTTCACGCTGAAGCCATTCCAAGACTTGGTGGAAAAGGGCATTCTGCGGATCTTCTTCGCCGTTCTGCATTTCTTGTTCATCCCGCGTTCCTGACTCGGTTATGGCACTAGATTGACTGCTTAATGGCGCTGTGGGATTGAGTGGCGGGCGTGCGGTTGCCTTTTTGCTTATGGCAGGATGTTGTTTTCTAGAGTCGGGCGCAATTGCGGTGTTCGCATTACCGTTTGCGTGACGGGCCTTCTGCTGTGAGGCGATGCTAAGACCGGTACCGTGAATCGGTTGAAATCCTTTTGAAGATTGATTAGAATCCATCAATGTTCAGGAAGGCTGCGGCATGCAAGGGAAGAAGAGAGGACGCAAGGGAGAAGGATATTATAAGCCCCAGATAGAAAGTACAAAAGCAGGTGCTTAAGCAATAGGCGAGGTTGTTGAGTCGCAGTGGGCATGAGATCATCTGATCCGAGAGCAGAACCTCGGGAAATTTTACTACTACAATCGGACGGTGGAAAAGGAACGGTAACCACAAAGTTAAAAAACCTTCTGCCTACCTTCAATGTCAGGACCAGAGCCCCCGTTGTGGTCGGTGAAGGAAGGCATATCCACGGACACGCGACAGTTCGAGCCAACAGATCGGGCCCTGAGACAGAGAGCAGTCCAAGCTTCACACCCAGAGGCGGGAAGCTGGTCACACTTCGGCTATATATGTATGGTTCCCTGGAGTGGCCCACGGGGTACACTCGGGCCAGTCAAGGTCACGAGAGATAGAAATGCGAAGAAAGACTGGGTAACTTGCGGATTCGACGACGTGGAGGGAGAGCGAAGGAGGACCCCTAAAAAGATTGTGGATTAGTTCGCCAAGTGGGGTCCCCGATAGGATGAACCAACGCTCGGCGATTCTGTCTCAACAGTTTCCACTTGCGATAAGAATAAAAACTGAGATGGCGGTGATGTCGAGGAATCAACAGGTTGCATTAAACCAAAAGACAGTCGATACGAAGGAGGAGGAAACAGGAGATGCAATGACGACGCAGGCTAAGAATGAGTGGCGAAAAAAGAAAGATTAAAAAAACAAAAGCCAAGTTATCAAGTGAAGGAATGAGAAAAGGGAACGGGACATGTGCTGCACTGCTGCGGACGGACTAGTGCCTCAGGTGACATGTCCCACCGCATTTTCTCAGGCAGCATCTTAAGAGAGGACCTCAATCGCCAGAAATAAGTACCAGATACCATGTCCATAAGCATATGTTATGATGTTATTAATATTGTATCCCAATGGAGGCAAACACCAAAACATGACGTTGAAGATGCTCGTTATGTTTGCTTGTCTCTCAGGCCAAGGGGTCTGTGATTAAGCTTGTGCCCTAAGAGTAATAAGGTCGCAGCCAGTCGGCGATAACCGTACTCTAGACTGAACGAGATAAGCCGACCGGGGAGTAGTATATCTGGGAGTTTGTCGCATAGGGTCCCCACTGCTCGGAAGCATGGTTTCAGGTACGATGCAGTAGTCGCATGGGAAGAGAAAAGCTATGTAGTGGTGTAAAGTAATATCAACACAGATCATTCATTAGCAAATACTTCTATCGTGGTCGTGGCCATCATCGTACACGATGCCTGGCTACCTATCAAGAACCATACTGTGTCATTCCCCATGCTGTCACCAGCAATACATACGGAGAATTGTCGCATAGGGAGAACAATTAATCGTGCCATAATTGACCAAAGGTTGCAAGGGCACTGCTTCATCTGGAGTTATCCTTGGCGCATCGATGTGTGGTTCTAGTAGTAAAAAGGTTTGGAAGGAAGTTGGAAGAAAGAGGGGAAGGGCCCCCCGTCTTCTTAAAGGAGGGGAAAATGGTCAGTGACCCGGCCGCCTGACGCACGTTTGCCTTGCAGAATGCCAAGAACAACAGTCAGAAACGACACCATTCGTCTTCAAGCTTATAACGCAGTTAATTTGTCTTTGGATAGTGTTCAAATACTAAACATCACAACAGTCATGCACATTCCCATGCACGTGCTGAAGGGCAATACGTGTGCAGCTTCAGGCGGTTACAGACATATGCCAAGTACTACTTACTGTATACTAACACTAGTTAGTTAAGCTTCATCACTTAATAATAACACCTTCGCTACCTCTGATACTGAATATCACGCTGGGATCTGTCGCCGCCCCTCACCGTCCTGGCAGAGCCTAATGATAGCTTACACTCCAAACCGTATAGCTCCCCTCAGATGCTTCGCGTCTCCGCAGAGCCAATACTCCTTTGCTGTCTATCTCAATGGGCGTCGAATCAGCATACTGCAATGTATACCCCTGGCCATTCCCAGCAAAAGTAATCTTCACGTCCGCCGCCTGGCTACCCTGCTCGCTAGACAATAGTGTGCCTTTTGGCCCGAGCCATTTACCGTCCAGGGCACTAGAGATGTGAAACACTCCGCTCTGTTCACCACCGGAGTAATGAATCACCCATCGTTGTTTTTTATCCTTGTAGCCCGAGCCTGTGGGGCTGCTACTAATTTGGGTGGCATTGCCCGCATTAGTGAGCGCATGGCCAGATTTCTCGAAGACCAAATAGCGACCTTCCGTTAGGTAACCCACTACCTCTTTGTACCCTTCCTCGAACCACAGGGCATCGGTGACGTTGCTTTGCTGGCCATACGGTACTGGTGGCCTCTGGGTTGGATGACTAGCTTGGCAGTTGGACGAACCAACGTACTTACCCAGGAGCGTGGCTGGCTCCTCTGCGTCCGGCAAAGTGGGCAGGCTGGTATCAGGCTGACAGAAAAAGCGTTAGACCGCATCATGTTAACATACAATGGGAGCTCTCTACAACATACATGGTCCAGGTCCAACGCGCTCACGAGGTCTGACATGTGCTCTCGGCGCCACTGCACCATTTCCGGTGTTTCAACGTTTTCATATCCTCTGGCCTTTAACCATTGCTCAATGAAAAGGATCTGTGAGTTATGATCCGCGTGCTCTGTGAAAACGCGGCCACCCCGTGTCCAGGGAGAAATCAGATAGAAAGGAACTCTCAAGCCTATAAGCCACCTGGTATCAGCATGCTGGTCATCTCTTTGCCAGAACTACAGAACTCACCTGGTCCAACATAAATCTTTCCAAACTTCCCGTAAGGGTCTGTCATCCAGTCGCCTGGAGTATCCTCAGGGGAGTGGAAAGGGACAACGTGGTCCCCAAAACCGCCCGTTTCTAAAAGCCGTCAGTCGAAGCGTGAACATACCCATGCAATAGGACATCCTTACCATCATAGCTAATAATTAACAGAGTTGACGAGTACTTGGGACTTTTCGTCACGGCGTCCACCACCTTTTTCTGAAGCCATGCGCCGTCCTTCGGCATATAGGGTGGATGTTCTGATAATTCGGCTGGACCGACGATGAAGCTGACCTCCGGGAGACTTCCATTAGCGGCAGCCTTGTAAAATGCGTCGAGACCCAGGTATGACAGGCCCTTCTTGGCTAGAGGGGATGATGCAGATGCATTCTGGTACTGTTCGAACCAAGCCAAAGGGTTGTCATCAAAGTTATTCTTCTCCTGGTACACTTGCCACGAGACCCCAGCGTCTTCGTAAACCTCAAAGATGGTTTTCCATTTAAGAGGATAGCAGTTGATTTTATCCGTATCGCACCCAGGCGTTTCGTTATTGTCTATATAAGGGCCCCCTTGGTCCGACGTCTGGGGGCTTCCCGGGATATTCACAGAGCCGCTCACCAGGGTGACGCGATTGGGGTTAGTGGATGTGATCTGCGACTCTTGGTACATATCTCCAGCAGTCCAACCTTCCGCAATGGCAAATTGCACCGGGATATCATTTCGTTTAAGATAACCCCAGCTCCAAGGGGTGTTGTTCCGCGCCCAGTTGTTGTTCAAGTCGTGGTTGAGGGATGCTTGGTTGTCCTCATAGCCGTTGCTTCCTGCTACCATACATTGAATGGCATCATTCCAGTCTCCGCCTTTGTATCCCAGATACCACGGGAGAAGGGTCTTTGCGTCTTCGGACATTGAAGGGTCCACCTTTCTACAAACGTAACAGTGAGTTAGCCATAATTCGTAACTTGAATTGCCCATGTGTTCTCAAAACTGACTGATGCCAGACGGATAATCCATCATCATTCACTTGTACATTGGGGTCATTGAACCCTCGAACGCCTGCCATAGTTCCAAAGTACTGCAACGCGAGAAATTAGTCAATGGACTAGCGGGCGCACATTTTAGAGCCTCAACAGCACATACGTTATTCCAGCTTCGGTTCTCTTGCATAAAGATAATCACATGGTCAATGTCTTTCAAGGAACCAGCACGAGCAGGCCTGCTCCCAAGGAGCATGGCCAAGGTCACACCCAAGAGCATCGACATAGTGGTGTGCTATCTTGAACACGAGCAGAAAGGCGTCGACTCAACAGCATCTTGGTAATGACTGATAGATATACCTTTGGAGGTTACATACGCATCTGTCGGCTCGTGCCGCTGCAACAAACCCTTGCAGCATTAGTCAAGGCAACAATCAGAGGAAACGTGATGCACATTGTAGATCGGATTTGACGAGCCATTGAGATGCCGCATAATCGCTATTGGTAAGTTTCACGATGGGGGAAATCATAAGCCAACCAATATCCAAGCTTTTCGACTAGACCGTGGCACAGTTGCAATGGGAATGCAAGATGATGCGGAGTTGTTGTTTAGTACTTGTTGGCCTCCTCGGTTAGAACATCGAGATAGGCACGTGTTGCATTCGGTTGGATGATTGAACATCAACCATTGGAGTACGATGGGGCCACCCGCAAGATATGTCAAAACAATTTAATTTACCGCGAAGTTTAGTGCCTGACGATCTATTTCCTTGGCCCCCCAACGCGTTCCGAGTAATCCGTCAATTGACATGCAACACAGATCTAACGAATGCTGGGTCGAGGACGAACCCATAATACTATTTGGCCAAGTAGCAAAGGACGATTATATTTCAAGTTAAAGTATCAGCATTGTTATCTCTCATGCATTTGAATCGAACGGTTGGGACGGTGAGGGGACAATATACCGAAAACGAACTTCTAGACAAATAATGAAGAAGAATTATATTACCCAGCGGGGTCATCGGCAGCTGTTGCCAATTTCTCTCCATCAAACATCCGATACTTGAACTTTCTTGTTTCTATTAATTGCTTGGTGTGTCACGATCTGTACTACAGGCATACTCCGCACAGATTATATGAGCGATCTACATGTCCCATGTAACGTTCCCTTCACTTTCCCCACTATCAGAAGCGAACCATGCAATATAATGTGCTGACCATTTAAGAAAATGCTATTCGGAAGCCAAGTGACCCAGATGAAAAAGTACTAAGCTGACAATGGAGGGAAAACCCAGTCGCCGAAAATCGAGAAACCCGAAGATCACGAAACGGAATGAATCGGACGCTGGCCCTCAAAATACGTCTGCCAGAAGAACAACAAGATGTTGGCCTTGCAGCATTGTGATTTGTCCGCTGGTTTTATGCATCCTCACTGTATTGCTCTTCCTCCAACAGTTCACCACACTAGATCCGTTGCGCTCCGTACTATCTTCCCCTAAAGTTCACCATGGCGAAACGCTACACTCCCAAGTGCACAACCCTGACTTAGCTCGCCCGAGCATAGAGCTTCATCCAGAGGACCACGTATATCGGGGACCAGTGACACAACATCTTGACTGGGTGGTCACTGCTGATTACCTTCGGCCCGATGGGGTGTTGAAGCAGGTTTACCTTATCAACGGTAAGATCTTGGTTCCAATGGAGAATCAGCTGAAGGAGAGGACGTATGCTAATCACAGTACGAAGAATAGGTATCTTCCCGGGTCCGACTATTGAGGCCCGTTCTGGCGATACCCTTATAATCAATGTCGCAAATGCACTACAAGAGGAACCAATCTCTATCCACTGGCATGGGATTCACGTTCATAGTTAGTTATTATCCTCAATATATGCCCAGGATGATCATCGGACTGACGTTCTAGATACAATGGATGGTGTTCCCGGAGTGACACAAAATGTCATTCCACCTGGATCTACCTTCGTGTACAACTTGACTATTCCCCATGACCAAAGTGGCACCTTTTGGTACCATGGTCATACCGGAACTTCGAGGGCGGATGGCCTATACGGTGGCTTTGTTGTACATGCACCTTCTTCCCGACCTACTGTTCGCGGACTCATGGCCCGTGACAGCGCCGAGTCTCTGCAGTACGGTTACGAAAGAGAGTTTCTACTTCTGATCGGAGATTGGTACCATCAGCCTGGTGATCAGGTCTTGGCCTGGTACATGAGCATCGCGTCTTTCGGAAACGAGGTATGTTCTCAGCACTCATGTTATCATGCAAATCAGCACTAATGCAGTGTAGCCAGTGCCTGACTCATTGTTGATCAACGGGGCGGGCAGCTTCGACTGCTCTATGGCCGTACCTGCTCGACCCCTAGATTGTGTTGAACAACATACCAACCTCTCCTACCTATCAGACATAGACACAGCCTATAGATTGCGTGTGGTCAACACCGGGTACCACCACCGCCATACTTCAAAGTAACCAAAAACTAACACGCCCACAGTTCCTTAGCAGGATTCACCCTATCATTCGAAAATAAACCCCTCACCCTGATCCAAGTAGACAGCACAAGCGTCGAACCCCAAGAAGCCCCATCAGCAGGAATCCTTTACCCAGGCCAACGCATGGATGTTGTCCTCCAACCCTCGAAAGAAGACCCCACATCCCTAACAATCCACCTAGACCAAGAGTACGTCCACCGCCCCCAATCTCAAACAAACCAATCCTAACAACACAAAAACTCAGCTGCTTCAACTACCCAAATATAGCCCTCACCCCAACCCAAACATTCCCGATAACACCCTCCCACATCCCATTACCTCCCCAACCCCTCCCAAAAAACACTCTAGACCTTCAAAACACGCCCTCAAAAGCCTCTCTCCTCTCGATTATCCCCGGAAACCCCACCCAAACGCAGGTAATCTACACCAAGATCCAAAAATTAAGCATAAACCACAACATCCCAAACGGCTTCTTCAACCGCACCTCATGGCGTCCGCAACCCGATACGCCACTAAACACCCTCCCGCGTGAGAAATGGGACGATAACCAGTTCTCGTTCGCCGTACCTGATTCCGAATGGATTGATGTGGTGGTGAATAATCTAGATGAGGGGGGCATCCGTTCCATTTGGTGAGTTCTTCTCTTTACCCTCATTTTTGTTACCAAGTATACTGATTCGACGTCTTAGCACGGTCATCACTTTTACATCCTTAGGGTCTATGAGGCGCCTATAGGATGGGGCTCGTACAACCCTTTTGTGGATGCGGCTCCGCCGGGTTTAGAGTCCGAGTCGGGGTATGATCTCTCTCGTGCAATGCTTCGGGATACGGTGTATATTCCCAGTCGGGGGTATGCGGTTTTGCGGTTCCGGGCGGATAATCCGGGGGTGTGGTTATTTCACTGTCATATTGTTTGGCATTTGGCAAGTGGGATGGCGATGGTAATTGATGTTGGGGAGGGTAATAGGTACTAGTGGTTGAAGATGTATGATATGAGGTGAATTCCTCTGGTAGACTGTAATGTTATGTTGTAGATAGTTCAATTTAAGAGTTAAACATGAAAATGCTTGTGAACGTTCAATGCTGAACGATGCTATTAGGAATGCTCCCTGCAACCGGTATGCCCGTCCCGAGGTATCCTACCCACCTATTCGAACCCGATTTCGCCAATCTAGTAAAGGAAGATGAACCCGCCAATAATACAATGTAAGAAAACAAAAAGGATTTTGAACGCCAGCCACCTGGTCGTAGAAGAAATCAAAGTCAATTTTGTAGCGCAGAGATAAGCTTAGGACGAGGCGGAAGCCCATTCCACCACTTCCATGGCACACATCACAAGAATTAGAGTAGAAGGAAGAATCCTGCAAAGATCAGTACATATTCCTATTGTGAATCTTAAAGGTCACGTACCAAACAACGTAGCTTTGGAACAACAATTTGGACATAGCGCCCACATACACGTTGTTGATTTGGCAAATCTGAGCCAACTGAAGCGCGGACGGGGCGCCAGTGAGAAGGAAACAGACGACGACGAAGATCGGATCATCCAGAATGCTGATAGGGACGTATTTCGCCAGGAGGGCCAGCATTGGAGCCATGATCAGCGTCGGAAGAAGCATACGCGCCACCAGAGACGCAATGATCAGCTTCTTCTCCTCCTTAGGGTGTTCCATATCCTGCTGTGCTTCTTCAGGCAAAGTATTGCGCTCCAGATTGGCGCCAAGGACCACAAGAATCAATGGCACAGCAACCTGGCCATTCTGTTGGATTGCACTCGTCACGGAATTCTGCACGAAGGTGCCCTCGTCGAAGAACAAGCGCTGGAGCGATGGTACGGATGCCACGATGATAGACACAAGCATTGCCCAAAGTGGCGGGTTCATGAATTGCCAGAGGCCGCGGAAGAATCTCCGGGTCCCACTCATAATGCCCGATAGTACTTTCTGGAGGAATGTTGGCAGGCGTTGGAACAAGGCTCCTGACTGTCTTTCCCAAGTATTCGTTACGCGACCACCAAAACGACTTACGGAGGTTCTAACGCGGAAGCTGAGCCCGGCCTTTCCGGGATCGCCCCCTGACGCTTCAACGCTAGGAAAGCATAAAATATCACCCTCAGTGCTTTGCCGGGGTAGGAATGGTCCCTGTGGAGGAGGGCCAAGTAGGCCAGGGTGGTCGGTATCCTGCGAAGACAGCTTTGTGTACGAGTAGGCGCGTACCAATACTGGCGTCTGCTCCCCGGAACGGAATACCTCAGACTCGTCATTTGAGTCAGTCCGGGAACCATCAGAAGATGCGGTTCTGATCAAAGGTTCATCGGGATCCGTTTGTTCTGGGTTATCGCTGTATCGGTCCTGGCCTTGTTCGATACTCGTTGTACCCTGCTCCCTTTCCCCTTCCTCAAGATATCGCTCTCGAGGGGCAAGAAGAACGTGGTAACCCCAGCTCCAGCGTACGAGCTGGCCAAGCTGCTGAAAAATGAGCAGGTACAAAATCCCCCGCGCCGCCACTTCATCGTCATTATCATTGGGTACCCTATCCCAGTGGAGGCCTTTCAAGGTCTGTGAGAGCGACATGACTAGGGAAATCGGAAGCGAATTTGAGTTTCCAAAGACCTGGTAGTAAAAGATGTTAGCATGATGGTTGTGCACATACATCCTCGCATTCAACATTGATCACATACCGCCATGGCCGTCACAAAATTGGCCGGCCGTTTCTTGAAGCCACAACATTTCGATACGGTGAGTGCGCAGACATAAGAAACCAAGGTTTGAACAACAAAGATCACCGGAATAATGGCTAGATCAACCAGCTTTTCTGCGGTGAGTTGGGATCCCAGTTTCGTGAAGACTACAATCCAGGAAAATTAGTTCGAGGCCGGTTCACCACAAGGATCATACACGTACTCAGACACGGGGTGAATAGGTTGACGTTGAGGTTGGCGACCAATTTCTGGGCGTCTGCATCGAATAGGCCTTGTCTGGCGGCGATGTAACCAGGCAAGCTGACACAAATCACTTGTAGGACCGCTTCGAAGACCAGAAGAATCAAGTGCGAGAAGGAGGGATGACTGGAATGGGGAGCAACATATCCGAGAATGGACGGCGAGGCACCTATCTGGTGCTGGGTCAAAAGCTGGCGAGGAACGAGCGATTGAGCATTCTGAAACGACGTGGGAGCAGTAAAAATGGCCATCGAACGGGGGGAACAATACGGGGGTAACTGGTGTGTGTCGAATGTGAGCGGAGAAGTGTTCGTGATGAGTCTGGAGTGACGTACTAGAGACGGAAGGTTCGGTAGTTGGCCCAGTGAGTAGTTTAAAAATTTAAGGTTGCAGCTCTAGGCAAAGGGAGACGGAGAGCTCAAGGCGAAAATTCAGGAAACCAACTGAGAGAGGCAAGGCGAGGAAATCACCTCAAGAAGAGTCGAATGCTGAGAAAGAATATTGGAGCTACGAAAATAGAATCCTAGCAGAATGATAAGCGATGTCTGTGCCTGGGAGTGGTAATGTTGGCAATCTGGGGGATCCTTTTTTCTTGCAACAGTGGTGATTCCACCCGGAATAAGCATGGCGACAACGATGCCCCATTCACCGTTCTAATTGGGCGATAACGGGGACGATCGAACGCCATGGCAAAGCACGCCAAGACCACCAGAGTATTTCATGATAGTATCCAATCGTCATCGTCCTGATTTCTGTCCTGTCGGATTCAGATAGCATTGCCTTTGCGTCAAAAGGCACTGGTCAAGTTGTGCCAGCTTCCAAGGTCCCTGGAAGGTATTTTGCCCTTTTGCTCCAACAGGCTGTGGTACTTCTGTAGACTGCGCCACAAGGTACTCAAAAGGAGACACAACCCAACACTCCGTCTCGGCACCAAGACCTCCAAGAGACCACAGCCACGATCTGATTCCAGAATGAGGTCGACCGCCAAGAGGGATTGTTTCATTGCCAGCTTTCCTTGCGTCAGCCACTCTTGGAATTCCTTATCTATATTTCACCATCGTTGCTCATTGACTCATAACAAGAGTGGTATCACGCAAGGACATTATACTGCGAAGTATACGACGTACTCGTACTCGGCAATTGTCGATGCCGAAATTCACTAGGGGAAGCGATTACTAGTAATCTATGAGTTCAAAATGAAATGAAGTGATGTATCCTTCCTCCACTCCCGCCAGTTAGCAATTGGTTTTTGGCTTATCGCACGCCTGGTCCCATGGTTCCCTAATTAGCCTGCTGGGAATTTTCCACAGTGGCAGCTAGTAAGATATGGAAGTCAACTTTTGATGATCACAGTTCTGAAACATTTGCTCTCCGCCAATCATCCCCAGATTACCACAAATGACACCATTCAACGTAGTTGCTCCGCCTCGATGACGCCACGGTGGGCACATCAAAGCCCGGGGATTGTCGTCAACAAATATCGTACTTTTGCTGACCAAGAGAAATGTTTATTTGGCGGACTGCAGTAGCTTACTGGATGCTTGACTGACTTAAGATTGTGGAATCAACCGGGATCGTTCGCAATATCAGTCAACACATTAGGGCTTAGCTCCGATTTGACCTGAATAGCGCGATTTGCTGACAGAATCGGTCTCAACCACGGACGGATATCATTCCCTTTCGCCTCCGTAGGACTACCCATGGATCTTGACAGGCGACAACCCCCCAGAGTACCGTACATTCCCATCTATATCATAGTTCGCAGCGCTTGTGGCCTGATCATTTTCGCCGTCGAAAGAAGCCTCGGGAATAGTCTAGGCTTGTGGAACCCCCCCTCTTTAGCTCGGAGAAATTACCAAAGTCTCTCGGGAGACCATCATACTCCCAGAAATTCGCCAAATAGACTCTCGGCCATTGCGGGGATTTTGCGTCGGATGGTCGTTTAGGAACGCCGATATGGAGACAACAATCGGGAGTACGGCGGTTAAAAGTCCGACATCAAATCTTCTAGACTACTCGATGAGCCAATTTTGTGCGTTGCTGTGCTGGCACATTCGCCGACTGTCTACTTTTATTTTCTTTACGGAGAACACTAGGAGACACCCTAAGTGTAGGTCTTATTGTTTGCACATGTTCAGGACTGTAATGAGTCATATTAGGCAGTCGTTCTCTACGGAGAATGAACTATTATATGAAACTATTTGGGACTGTCGGTCATTAGTGCTGCTGTTTGACAATTCCTATCGATGCCAGGTAATGTGGTCATCAACCAGGAGAGGAGTATGACACAGCATGGAACGCGACATGTGGAAGGGGCAATTTTGGGCAGGAATTGAAGGCAACGTACGGAGTCCAATTGATGATTTCAGTGCAAAGTATAACTATCTGTATGCAGGGGGGAAGTTAGCAGATATGCTGAGGATGAGAAAGGGTATGCTGCTACTAGTACTAGTAGTAATATAGTATAATTATAATGTACTGTGTAGGATGCCTCTCTTCTTATGATGTATGTACATCTGTGTACGGAGTATATATGGATATTCATCCATACATATCATACATATAAAGTGGGTTTAATCCAGAAAACGTTGAAACCCACAACCTTAAATCATGAAATGTATCAAATCCCATTGGGTTGATGGCGGCCCGTCCAATTACAACTCGGCCGCCAGCACGTACCTGAGTGACCACATGTGCCAGAACAGCTGTGTCGACTTAAGTGATGGATGCGATGTGATGTACAGAGTAGACCATCAATATAAGAGCTGAATCAATGACCTCATTATCGGCAGAGAACGTTGGCAACGATGTGGGGGTTTGGAAAGAAAAGTCTTACTTTTGGGATCTGTTGGGCAAATCTCATCAGTTACACAAGGGGTGCGATCTGAAAATATTCTGGTATCTTTTTGTTCGAAACGCTGCCCAACTTCGCCACATGCTTGTTCACCGAGACTATTATATTTGATGTGCATTGATTTACTACGGGAATGTTGAATCTCGTTCCGTATCAGCCAACGACTGGCCTTCAATCGTTTCCGCCTTGTATCAAAGATTGCGTAAAATGAAGTTCTGCCCTGCCCGAAATACTCTGCCAACATCCACTCGGCGAACTAACGGGCGTGCGAAGTGGCAAAAATTAATTTATTTTCTCATGATCAGGCCGACATAAAGTTGCTTGCCACAGGTTGAACCCGTGGACGTTTTGCGTTCTTAGTGCGTGCGTCCGTTTGAAAATTTACTACACGGGCATGCCGCCGATCATTGGCAAAATAAAAGACCCTAGTAAGGTGGATAGCTGAGGTAGTACCTGAACTGGGGAAGGCAACGAAATAAAGAAAGGAAAGGAATAAAAGGATTCTCTTCGCCGACGGCAAAAAGCGTAATAGGACTACGAGTCACTACTAATAGGTATTGCCTGTGTCCATTGGCTGGACGACGTCCCTTAGCAGCAAACAAAAGCAGGGAACTTGGAACAGTGTGGGAAACTACTCCGTACGCTTATACTGTCGTAGGTCAGATACCATTTTCTTTTCTTTTCTTTTCTATTATCTTTTTCTTTCATTTCATTTCATTTTTTTTTTTTTTTTTATGTTCATTCCCTTGATGTTCCGCTGCCAAAACCAGATAGATCCCCAACTGCCAGTCGAACTTCTCCGTATTCTTGCTCCCCACTCTCTAGTCTAGTCTCTCTATTTGCACTCGTCGCTCCCATTCTTGATTTATGCCCTCTATTTTCTCATATTATTTTTGATTGCTGACAAGCTAAGAAGTTGTTGGCAGCCCCGTTTTTTCTCTTTTCTCTTTTCTTTCTTCCTTTTCTCTTTCGAACGGTTAGGTGCTGTGCTTCAGTATACACGAGTTCGTTATCTATCCTTCCTCCTCCGGGAATGGCTTGAATCGTGCCCCGCGTTGAGAACAAACCTTCATCTCCAGCCGTCCTGCGAAACGTTTCTGCCTTTCCACTAGATATCAAATCACCTTTTCCTCCTCGGGATCGGGCCATCCACGGCAAAGACGCACTGAATTCGTCTACCTCACGCATTCCGACCGTTACCATATTTTGTCACCTCCTTTCATGACTGACATTGCGTGGATTTGCGCCAACGCCTGAAGCCATTGGAGACGGCACTTCGAACATTGCGACCTGATTTCAATCACCGATTTTCTCGTACGCTAGTCTAACACAATGGCATCCGAAATCGACCCTCTAGCGGGCGTTTCACCTTCGAGGGACCTGGACAACACGTCCGATACCACCGACGATGACCTCTCCCCTTCCGTGACCACTCCCCCCGCGTCAGTGCCCTCTTTACGCCCGACCGATAAAATCCCCGGCATTACCGCGTCGTCGACACACCTGGGCCAGATTAGTGCGGCTCGACGAGGTGCGGGAACGCCTCCGCGTCCGCAGGCCTCCATGAGTGGTGCGTCGCAAGGGGGCTTAAACCAGGATATTTTGGCGAAAATGAAGGCTTTCTCTCTTTCTCGGCAAGGCGCACCCCCAACCCTACCCCATGCGGCTTCGACTGGAACCGTACCCAAAACTCCCCGCCCAGGTGTCTCCCCAGCCGGTTTGTCGACCCCAGGGGGACAATCTCCCCCAGTTGTTAATGGTCCTTTGGCGGGAGCTTTCGCCGGCCGACTTCCCCCGGTAGCTCGCCCGAATACCAAAAACTGGATGTCGTCTCCATCGATACCCGGCTCATCACCAAGTCCTAATTCCCCGAAGCCGGGTGGCCTTGCTGCGAAACGGATGAAGCCTGGGCTCAAGCTATCCGATGCCACCGGGACCAATGGCACTGCTGGAACTCAGTCTCCTGCCAACGGGACCGAAGGAACCGGCGAGACTGCGTTCAGTAAATATTCCGAGTTTATTGACACTAAATCGGGGACGCTGAACTTCAAAAACAAGGCAATTCTGCATGGCGGCGGAATTGAGTTCTCATCTGGGCATAAGTTCAGCATTTCGCTGGACGAAGTTGATCGTCTGGATGAATTGGGCAAGGGCAACTATGGAACAGTATACAAGGTTCGACATAGTCGGCCGCATATGCGAAAACCCGGCATGGGTTTGAGAGGGATTGTCAGTCGTCCGACGGGGCCCGAAGCGTCTGCTTCCGAGGATAATCTTACCGGAGTTATCATGGCCATGAAAGAGATCCGCTTGGAGCTGGATGAAAACAAGTTCGCTCAAATTATCATGGAGTTGGAAATCCTTCATCGTTGTGTCTCGCCCTTCATCATCGATTTCTACGGCGCCTTCTTCCAAGAGGGAGCAGTCTACATCTGTGTTGAGTATATGGATGGTGGGTCGATTGACAAGATCTACAAGGATGGCGTCCCGGAGAATATCCTCCGTAAAATAGCCTTATCTACTGTCATGGGACTGAAAACACTCAAAGACGATCACAACATCATCCATCGCGACGTTAAACCCACGAATATTCTCATCAACTCGCGAGGGCAGATCAAGATATGTGATTTCGGGGTCAGTGGAAATCTGGTTGCCAGTATTGCCAAGACAAACATTGGCTGTCAGAGCTACATGGCTCCGGAGCGAATTGCTGGCGGTGGTGTTCAGCAATCCGGAGCAAGCGGTGGCGGGACCTATAGTGTTCAAAGTGACATTTGGAGTTTAGGATTGACCATCATTGAATGTGCCATTGGCCGATATCCATATCCCCCTGAGACCTTTAACAATATCTTCAGTCAACTGCACGTGAGTATATACTTTACTGTTTCGTCCTTGCCATTCGAAGGTCCTCTGAATGTTAACTCTTCTTGGGCAGGCTATTGTTCACGGGGAACCACCTACACTTCCGGACTCCGGATATTCTGATGAAGCGCATTCCTTTGTCCGTGCTTGTCTAGACAAAAACCCCAAGAATCGTCCTTCGTACAGTATGTTACTCCGGCACCCCTGGATTGCGCCCCTTATGCGCCCACCGGAGGAGCCGAACGGTAATGATACGACGCCTGCCTCTTCGGCCCGAGTTACCCATTCCTCTGTCACTGAAGATAAGGAGGTCGCCGACTGGGTTAAAGAGATGCTGGAGCGTCGCAACAATGGCCTCCTGAATGATTCCAATAAGCCGGCACTACATGCTGTCGCCTTGGATGCTGTTCCGGGCAGCCCTCTTCTTGATGATCCTTCATCAATTTCCGTACAGCCTTGACGAAACACGGAACTTAGGCTTAGAATTCCCCCCCTTTGGCATATGCACGCATGTATCCCCCGCTGCCTTGAGTTCTGGGTTAGCGGGCAGATGGGAAGTGCACATAAAGCTGAAGACTTACTGGCGCAGGCGCCTCTTGCCGAAAGCTTTCCGGTGTAAGGGCCATGCGCGACGACATGGGTCCTATATTAGCTTCGGTTTTGTCTTTGCGGGAGCTTGCAGCATGTATGAACGAACTTACTCTTTCTGGTGATGTCGTCATAGTATCTTGGAATTTCTCATGTATTATGAATTAAGACGTGATTTAACGCCATGACTTTTATTATAACGACTATCTAGGAGCAATCCTCCACCAGTGCTAGTTATCTGACTCGGATGATATATAATTAGCATTGTACAACAAGGAAAACCATGCTCAGTTGTTTTGGTCCCTTTTTTTTTTTTTTTTCCAAAAAGAAAAATAAAAAATAAAAAATAAAAAATAAACATAATTATTATTGATTGATAATTCAAGACATAACTACGGAGTACTCCGTAGTTAACTAAAGTCAGGCTGCTTAGCAATCAGCGGAATCACGTGTAGCTTCGTCCAGCCTCCAGTAAAGATGATGAAATCCCGATCTCGGCCTTTGGAGGTGGTTTATTCGGCGATTGGAGAGAAATTTTTGATCTTTGACCTTCTCTCGACTGAACAAGACGCTTTGCAGGGCGGAATTGGGTGCAGTTTGCTATAGTCACATCTTACTAATTGGTAGGCACCACTGTGATTCGACGTCATGCACAATGGAATCCGTCACTGACCGAAGGAAGCTTTTCGCGGCCGGATTCCCCGCCAGACATAATTACTACTGCAGTTCCTCCACCCCTCCTCCGCTTACTCTTCCAAACATAAAGCCTCCATGCTGCCCCGCTCTTCTTCCCGTTCCTTTCCAGTTCAGGCCTTCAAGAACCGGCTTCTTCGACCTGTATCGTCCCCTTCGGTTGCATCCCAGGTAATTGGAAGAAAAACTATTTCTACAGCTGCAAACCGGTGTGCTATTAGCGGAACTGCAACAAGAGCCGCTCTGGATTCTTCCTCGACCTTCATTCCTTCAACTGCCGTTGGCACCCGTCTCGCTCTACTCAACCGACAGTTCACGTCGACGTCCGCGACGCGCGATTCGAACACGATGCCTCCCGTGGAGCCCCAGCAGTATGACTATATCGTTCTCGGAGGTGGTAGTGGTGGTAGCGGCAGTGGACGCAGAGCGGCCGGTTGGTATGGCGCAAAGACATTGATTGTGGAAAGTGGACGCTCGGGTGGAACTTGTGTCAATGTTGGGTAGGTTTATTGCCCATATCGCTTTGTCGGTGGCTTAAATGAGAATGTCTGACCGCGGTGTGCAGGTGTGTCCCGAAGAAGATGACCTGGAACTTTGCAACTGTGAACGAGACACTTCATATTGCTGAGCACTACGGATACACCATTCCCAAGGATGTCAAGATCAACTACCGTCACTTCAAGGAGCTCCGGGACGCCACAGTCAAGCGGTTGAATGGCGCTTATGAACGGAACTGGGGACGTGAGGGTATCGATCTCGTACACGGAAGAGCCCGCTTTGTTGAGCCTAAGGTCATTGAGGTTGCCAACAATGACGGCACCAAGACCCGCTATACTGCGCCTCACATCCTGATCGCCACCGGTGGACGTCCCAAGCTCCCCAATGTCAAGGGAGCTGAGCACGGAATTACCAGCGATGGGTTTTTCGAGATCGAGGAACTGCCCCCTAAGGTCGCTGTTGTCGGTGCCGGATACATTGCTGTCGAGCTGGCGGGTGTTTTGGGAGCCGTTGGCGTTGATACCCACATGTTCATCCGTGGCCAGACCTTCCTTCGCAAGTTCGACCCCATGATCCAGAAGACCATGACTGAGCGCTACGAGGCTGCGGGCATCACCATCCACAAGGGCCACCCGGGCCTTAAGGAAGTGCAGCTCGTGCGGGACGGAAAGGGCAAGGACAAGCTTCTCAAGTTGATCTCAAACGATGGCTCGGAGATGGAGGTCAATGAGCTGCTGTGGGCTATCGGCCGTGCGCCCGAGGTTGAGGACCTGCACCTCGACATCCCAGGCGTCAAGTTGAACGACGCTGGATTTGTTGACGTCGATGAGTACCAGAACTCGAGCGTTGAGGGTATCTATGCTTTGGGTGATGTGACTGGACACGCCGAGCTGACTCCCGGTATGTTTGCAATCCGCCCTTTAACTTGACTACATAGTGCTAATCGCTGATGAAAATAGTTGCCATTGCCGCTGGTCGCCAACTTGGCAACCGTGTGTTCGGGCCACCCGAGCTGAAGGACTCCAAGCTTTCATATGAGAACATTCCAACCGTTGTGTTTTCCCACCCCGAGGTCGGGACCGTCGGTCTCACTGAGCCTGAGGCTCGTCAACGCTACGGTGATGACCAGATCAAGGTCTACTACACCAAGTTCACCGCGATGTACTACGACGTTGTGCCGCCGGAGGAGAAGAAGAAGAACCCGACTGAGTTCAAGCTTATCTGCGCTGGGCCGGAAGAGAAGGTGGTCGGTCTGCACATTCTCGGACTCGGCGTTGGAGAGATGCTGCAGGGATTCGGTGTGGCCGTCAAGATGGGCGCTACTAAGCGCGACTTCGACAGCTGCGTTGCGATCCACCCTACCAGTGCTGAGGAACTGGTCACTTTGCGGTAAAGTGTATTGTATAGACTAGATAAACAGGTAGATCTGTATAGGATGCATTATGACCTAGATTCAAAAGAAAGCGCTTCCTAGGTGAAGTACCTATAGATTTGTTGTTGAGCCTATTAACTAAGATCTTCGGGCCGAAAACTATAACATTATTTTGCATGTTACAACGATACGTCTCATTAAGTAGCATTCAAAAAGCAGACTGACAAGCACGAGATATATTTGTAGCATTTCACCCGCAATGATCACCAAGTACGGACTAAACTTGGTTATCTGTAACGAGATCCTTTGGCTGAAGACCATACACATCCAACACAACTGTTATCGATTGCAATGAAGGAGAACCGAGTACGAAGAAGGGTCGGAAGACCTTATGGCTAACCGGTGACCACTGGGTTGCTTTCTGTTGTTCTGACGGACTACTAGATTCAAGAACGTGCTCGTAAGAGATACTTTAATGATTAGTTCCTGATAACTGCTTCCTGTTTAGGTACTTCGCCTGTGGAGGTGCTCTTATCACTATCCTGATAATAGGCACAGGGCTTTTCATACAATAGATGCTAGTTGATGAGACATACTGGGTGAGATTTCAGTCAGCGAGGTGTTCCCTACTTTCAAGGTGGAAAGCCACTGTCAGTGTTGTGTATGTTGTATTTCGATCATCTATTGACTTTAATACTTACCTTTCCAAGAATGTCAATGTCAATATCCAACTGTACCTTTGGTCGTCTTTTGTTCCCATAGCTATGAGGAAAAGAAGAGAGTTCTGGATCCCGGGTAATTCACTATGGGAATGATATATTGTCGACAAGGACATCTCGCCGTACCTACCTTGAATGGTACTCTAGATAACGTCACACTTCTAAAGAAAGAAGACCAAAGCCCCAAGATCAGCAGCACAGACAGGATGAAACTCCATGATTGCCCGGCACGAAGGCAGTCCTCCAATAACAGGGTGTCCCCCGTCCAATACTATACCTAAGGTTTTTAGAAACAATAAAACAATACTACCGAGAGGTGGCTCTGCAATATACCTAAAAACCCAAGTCAGATAGTCAGATAGTCAGCTCCAACAATCGGGGGCTGAATATAATCCAAAATAAGCTTTAGATCTATCTATCTACTCCGCTATCATCTGTCATATACTTTGCCATGAAACAACCCCGTAGCAGAAAACATTTCGTTTTCTTTGTTCGAACCTATGCCTAAGTATAGTCAACTACAAAATGAATGAATAAATCCCTCAATGGCCCCACAGGACACAATGTAGAAAGGGGAAGCTTTCCCGGGATGGTAGTGTATACATGGTTCACTATCAAAGTTTATGCGGACCATTTTTGTGGATGATTTGGCGGTGCGAGGTTTATAGTTTTCCTTTCTATTTTTGTTTTCTTTCTTTCTTTCTTTCTGTTTCTTTTTTTCCAGGTGAATCTCGGTGTGCAAGAACCTGTGACAACATAAAGCCCATTCTGATGAACAGTTTGGAGGCTGGGATCGGCGCAGTTTGCTTTGTATGTTTTTGTCTCACAATAACCTTATTTACTTGCTCTACTGAATGGATATTATAATACGCTACTCTTATACCTGGGTATGAGACATGTGACTAATACATATAAATTTGATTTGCCAATTGTAAATATATAATGAAGATATAAAGGAAATTGGAATGATCGTTCTGTGGTGGTATAATCCTGGGTATAGTGATAAACTGGTTTGAGGAAAGGAAAAGGAAATAAAAGAGAGATAGTCTTGAGCAAGTGGCTTGTATCCACTGTATGCATATATATGTGAACATGCATATTCCAGTGTGCTCTGCACATCCCCAACAAGTATTGCGACCAGGAAGGTTTGCCTTAAGGTTGCCTTTGGCACAATCAAAACCAGGGGGATATGGGCGCAATATCCGATAATGTCCCAGACATGTCGGATCAAGTACGTTGAACACGAATGTGAATTTGTTGAAAGTTAACAATTTCGCAGGCTTCTTTCACTTGTGTTGCCGAGGCAGCAAGCGCGATGTATCGTAGTTAAGACTCGATTGTTATTATCCTGACACTTGGCTGCTCATACGGGTGGAACAGGAGATTGTACTTTGTACGTCCCCAGATCGATAAGAGTCCATGATACGTTGTGTAGCGAAGTGACGCAGTTGGGCATTGAGCATTTGTACTCGGGAGAGCGTTGTCTCGGTGATGGCCGTGTCGAACCGCTTGAGGTGGGGCGGTGAGCGGTGGACACAGGCTTGAGGGCTCGGTCCCAGATACCATGCTGGTCTATACTTCGTAGTTGCTCGGGGAAGCGGGATGATGAGTTTCATGGACCTGATAGTTTTCTTTGTTCGCTTGCGCATTCCCGAATCAATTCACGTAGACCATGACAGCGAAGGAGATCAGGCAGAAGCAGAGCGGAATGTAAACTGTCCGGTCCATATCTGGGTCCGACGAGGCTGACGAAGCACCAGTAACAACGTAACGAGAAGTACTGGAGCGTGAGATCGATTTAGCAGATTTGTGAACCATAGTCTAGGGGAATTGTGGTGGTATGGATAGATGAAGAGAGGAAGGAAAGAAAGGAGGTTCAGGATGCGGGAAAGGGAGGGGAAATCAACTGATGAATACTGGAAGTGTGGTACTCAACGTGGCGGTTGATGATCGCCCAACACGCCGGAGATCCTCAACAATCAATCAAATCATCGATCTTGATTTCGTCACGGGTTGCGGGGGACCCTCCTTAGTCAGCCGAGACTGATTATTGGCCCAAATCAGGCAACAAGGCTTGGAAGGGTCACGTGGAGCGGGACGACCACATGATCCCAAAGGAGGGAGTGAGAGGGTTCGATTCCCAGCGTTGGCGCCTCGGCTTTTCCATGACTCTTCGCTTGCAGTCAGCCAAGAAGATAGTTGATTGTATGCAGTCGCAAGTCATGCTGTTTTTAATCTCCCTGCCTTGTTGCATTGCATGGCGCTTATATTAATCTATATTGTTTCCCCAGGAATGACAGGGGGGTCAATACGACATCACAAGACTAATAATCTCCTATCATGTCATGTAACTGTACACAAAACCGACTTGTACACAGTAGTTAGTGTTCACTATGGGGGAAAGTCACTTCGGAGTAACCCTCACTTGTCAAACTATCCCATGACCTCTCAGTTTTGTTTGTTTGGATTTTTATTTTTAGATTTTCAGTTTTTTACTCTTTCTCCCTCTTTTTTCCTTTCTGCATGTCTTGCCTTGATCTTTTCGATTGCATTTGCGGTGTGTGCGCGTTATCGGTGGGTCGCCCCATTGGAACAGTTACAGTAGTTGCGTTCAAGGCTGTGGGGTGTGGGCTTGAGATGGCTTGAAGCCATCAAAAGTTAGAAGATTGGTATGATACGATTGTGCGGTGAGACATGTCTTTCTCGATTTTGTTATTAATTTCTTTCTTCGGCCGGTGAAATGCTTGAGCCCAAGGAACAGGAGAACCCCGTTTTGCTGGATCGTAGGAAATGTCGCGCCCGCCCGATGGTCGGATATGGAAGGTACTATCTGGGATTCTGGATTCTGAATTCTGGAGCATCGGGACAAAAACTTGATTCCCTGATACAGAGCAAAGCAGGTACCCGTAGCCATGGCTCGATCGGTCTCGTCTGTTCGATCTCTCTCATTGACCCAACAATGGCGCGTTCTCGGCTGCGACACTTTCAGTGACCCTTTAATGCTGATCAGCTTGCGTCGTCAGCCATTGAGCATTTCTCTTGACTTGCTGCCTGATGGATACAGTGGCAACAGGTCTTGCCTTGGCGCCACTGACACCTTTTCCTTGGCTCAGTTTTGAAGGGATTCTCCGAAAACGTCACAGTTCCCGAGGATGATCTGTATGCGGTGCATAGGTTGATTTTTCCGTTTATTCGCTTTCTTTTTTATTTGCTTTGCTTTGATTTTATACTTTATTTTTAATATTGACAGTGAGACAAGCTGTCAAAGGTAAAAAAAAAAGGGACGTACTGTATGGAGGTGGTTGGCGAATGTAACACTGCGCCGGCTAAAAGTGGCAGTGAGACACGGGACTTATTTTGACATACGTGCAGCTCTGAGCACACTTACTTAGACTGAGACTTAGTCCTATCCAACAGAGAAGGTATCAACGCTGACCTCCAGCCAAACACATGTAACGATGGAGCGCAGGGGAAGTCAGACACCGAAAGGCACAAGCTTTTTCCCTTTCCCTCTTCAAGCGCTCCGCTTGCAGTTTGTTGTGGTACTGACCCCAGTTGACCATGCGCAATGAGAGGCAGGTCAGTGGAGAACCAGAGTGGTCCACGTCTGCCGGTGCATACGGCTATACGGCGTACGCCTATCATCGAGAACCCTTTCCCCATTGCACGGCCCCCGCTGGATCGAAGTGGCTCTCTCATCCGGTCGCTTTCGTTCAATCACAGTCGGACCACACTCGGTTCCATAACCGTGACTTGTGACTGTCTGGCTACTAGCTTAGGTCGCGGCCCTTCGGATGAAGCGCCAAAGAAACTTCCCACGCTCGACCCAGAGGGGACACCTTCGCCTCCAATGATGCTTCATCCTGTGGCTCCCCCCGGCCGAACTATTGCTCGGGACGGATGGCGCTATTCCACTCTTTGTCCCCTGAGGGGATATTTTGGAAAGTTAGTGAACCCTTACTTGGCGGTAGCTTCCCAGCTATAACTATAGCCCTCCCCTCCTCGTTCCATAGCAACGAGGTCGTCATCCTGCCGTCTTTTCTATCTGCAAGACGGGTCATTCTTTAGCGTAGATCGTCGCGCCTGTGGGCCGTCTCTTTCGTCAGAACCACTGTCGCTGCCTTGACTTATTTAGACGCTTGCCCGTCTCCCAACTCCTCTCTTTGAGAAACCTGATTGCGCCTCGCATTCGATTCTTGCAGAGCTGCGTTCGCTGGTCGCATTGACCTGTTCAGACATCATGCATTTTAACTACGCTGCAGCTACACTGGCTGCATTGCTCCCTCTATGCTCGGCCCAGACCTACTCGAAATGCAACCCGCTTAAGCGTATGTTTTCCGCCCCGTTTGCTTTTTGTAGCAGATATTCCCATAGTTCTCTGAACTGACATGCAAAACTAGAATCTGGTTGCGAGCCCAACCCAGGTATGGGCGCCAATTTCAACTCCGACTTCACCACCGGCGATGGAGCTCTCGGCGGCTGGACAACTACCGCCGGAAAAGTCACGACTGGTGGCCAGGGTGCCGAGTTTACTCTGGCCAAGCGAGGCGATGCGCCCACCATTGACACTAACGGCTACTTCCTATTTGGTAAGGTCGAGGTTGTCATGAAGGCTGCGCCGGGACAGGGTATTGTCAGCAGCATTGTCCTAGAGTCGTCCGCCCTCGATGAGATTGACTGGGTAAGTTGCTTTCCCCCAAACCATGGTGCAAAAAAAAAAAAAAAAATCTGAACTGACCTCGATGCTCTTAACAGGAAGCCCTCGGTGGTGACACCACTCAGATTCAGACCAATTACTTCGGCAAGGGCGACACTTCGTCCTATGACCGTGCAACTTTCGTGAACATGGCTTCTCCACAGGCTGATTACCATACGTACACCATCGACTGGAACAAGGACCAGACCACCTGGGCCGTTGATGGCAACATCGTACGTACTCTTAACTACAACGACGCCAAGGGTGGTACTCGCTACCCCCAAACCCCTATGCGCCTGAGACTGGGCATCTGGGCCGGTGGCGACCCGGGTAATGCGCAGGGTACTATCCAGTGGGCCGGTGGCCCGACTGACTATACCAAAGCCCCCTTCACCATGTATGTTAAGTCGGTTAACATTGTGAACTATACGCCCTCCGACTCCTACACCTACTCCGACAACAGTGGTTCCTGGCAGAGCATCAAGAACTCTGCCTCGTCCCCAGAGCCTCGCAGCACCTCTAGCACCACGGACACCCCGTCCACCCCGTCTAGCACTGAATCCGCACCCTCGTCTGAGCCCGCGACCCAGTCTAGCACCAGTAGCACAAGCTCTCCTACTGGTTTCATTACCAGCACTACCAGCAGTACTGCTGGCAGCACCACTGACACCACTGAATCTACCACTGGTACTGCCACTGGCACTACTACCGGCTCTTCCTCGGAATCTGGCTCTGGCTCCACCACTGCCGAGTCCAGCTCGAGCACCGGTTCCTCCGGCGCTGGTGCATCCACGACCGAGTCTTCTGTTCCCGGGTCTTCGTCCGGCGCTGGATCTTCCACTGGCGCCGGATCTGGCTCTGGCTCGGCTTCTAGCTCAGCCGCTGGTGCCACTTCCACTGTTCCTCTCTCCAACTCTGCTACAACGCCTTATAGTGGATCTTTCATGGGCCTCATGACGATCATGGGCTTGATGACCGCCATGTTGCAGCTGTAATTGGATCTGTTTTTGTTTTTGCTTTTGTTTCATTGACCTAATGACCCCATGGCGGATTTTGTAATGGACGGGATTTATGACGCTTTTGGGAGACCACGCTCCTTTTATGACCTGCTGATTCTTGTATCGTTAATTGTAGCCTTAGGTACATATACCACCCACACACACACACACACACACACACATACTATGAAGAAGAATCTTTTGATACTGGCTTATATTTAAGCTCGGACGGATTTATATAATATCATTTCAAAATCACTTCAAGCTGTTCTATGCGAGTAACCGTATCTGCCACCTTTCCGTTGACTCAATGTTTCTCTTTCGAAGATAGAAGATAACATTAACATGGGATCGTACACTGTTACTTCCCTTGCTTCCAATCATCAAATCATGAACACCAAATAAACAAGCAATGTAAACAAACAAACAACAAGCAACCGAATCATGACTCGTATCCTGAATCGTATCCAAACTCCCAAGCTCCCACCTAATCGGGTATCGTTTCTTCAATCAGACACATCACATGAACATAACAGTAGGCACATCAGTATGTCCTCTTCTTCTGCAAGGTTTGCAACTCTGAGGACAATCGTCGCACAGCATCAACGACGGGCCGATGCTGCTCCGCAGCGTCCCGGAAGAGCTCAGATATCGACAAATCCGGACGAGTTGGGCCGTCTCCGTCCGCTGTTTGGCGGAAAAACGAAGGCAATTTGTCAACAAATGCCCGGAGTCCACCGACAGGAGATTCCGCAGCGGAGTCTGTTGTACCTAGAGATGTCGGTGATTGTTTCATCTCCCGAACCAAGATGCTGCCAATAGATTCCAGGTGGTCATCTAGCGTGGCGAGATCATTCGACAAAGAGTCAGCTTTGTTCTGCATGCGGGCAGTCAGCTGATCCAGATACTGTTCACGCCACGACATCTGCGTCGATAGGCGGGTGCCCTGAGCGGCGGATTGGGCGTCACCTGTCGTAGCCCCGCTGGTTGCGATTAAATTATCGACCGCAGAACGGATATCAACTTTGAGGGAATCGAATTTCTTGGTGGCGGCTCTGGTGGCTTCCCAGCAGCCGTTAAATTCGAGGTCGAGCTCGTGTTTCATGCCCGGGTACGCCTTCTTTAGCGCCGTCTCGATGTCGCGGAGCTTCGATTCGCTTTGTTTCAGTGTGTCCGATAGTGGGGTCATAGCATGCAGAGTCGTGTTGAATAGGGCTTCTAGCCGTATCTGTGAGGATACGAGGGTGTCGGAGCGGGATGCACGGTGACGGTTGGGCTGAGGCTGGGGGTAGGGTGGAATACAACTGGCCGGGTATAGAGTGGAAATAGTTTCTATCGTGCAGAGAGTTTGATACTGCTGGACTACTTCGGGGATGATGAGCAAATGCGAAATGGCCACAACAAGTAGCACGTTTATTATGGTTCGAATCAGCGTTTCCAACGTTTTAGACCTTGATGCTGACTTTGGACGAGCGAGCTTCTCATCTACCTGACTAGAGTCCGGCCCTTGCTCAGAAGAGCCACCGTCCTTGGACGTATCTAGGTCATGTTTCTCTCCTCGGGGTGTGCTTTCGCGCGCTGCGTTATGTCTGCGCCTAAGAGAATGTGCGGCCTTGGATTTGGATCGCACAGCTGGCGCAACCCAGGAACCTTCAGTGATAGGTGTCTCGTAGATTGAGGGCATAATGAGTTCGGGTCCTGATATGGAGGAGGCCGATGTAGTCATTGAGTCGGATCCATTGTTACATTCATGACGGCCAGTCTCTTTGTTTAGGTGACGGCTTTGACTTGAGCTTTCAGAAGGCCGGTCCTTACTCGGCCGGTCTTCCTTGTCGGGGAACGACGATGCCACTACCCAAGACTCGCCCAGGATAGAACTATCCTGAGGACGAGAGGAGTTTGTAGACATAGGTGAAGGATGATTCTCAGTTGCTATATTAGCCGAAGCATTCACTCTACCAAGTGTCACCCCTGGGGCGTCTTAAAGCTGTCAGAATAAGTAAACGAAATGTCAATAACTGTAGGATGAGCAGAAAGGACTGGAAGGACCCTTGTTTGTCGACGATAAGGTTTCTGTATATTGATTGTTGACGAACGATAAGAAGAGAAGTGGGGATGGATTTCACGAGTGCTTTATTCAAGATCGGGCCGATCGGCAATCGCGCTCGTGTTTCACGGGCCAGCTTCGAAAAAATTCCTTGTACGATGATATCAACCCCCCAGCAACCATGCGCCGATTAAACCCTCTGCTACGGCAGTCCCTGCTCCTGCGGAAATCTTGTCCCAGTACACGTTACACTCTCCGACCACCGCGCTTGCAATGGCTGTCCACCACATCCACTCGACCCTGTTCATGCTCCGACCCCCAGCCTGAACAGCCGCCTTCCCAATCCTCATCTACCTCCGCCGACTATCGCGCACTGGGAACTGCGCAGGACCTGTTCACCACCTCTATCTACAGCCCTGGATCCCCCCTTTTCCTACCCAATGGCACTCATGTCATCAACAAACTCGTTTCCTTCCTCCGCACGCAATACCTCCAGTACGGTTTCCGCGAAGTCCTAACCCCGACCATCTACAAACGTTCTCTCTGGGAGATATCGGGACACTGGCAGAACTATAAAGATGATATGTACGAGGTACGAGGCCGAGGGGCTATGGGGGATACTGAAGGAGAGGCCGGAGAGGACGAATCGTACGGACTGAAACCGATGAATTGCCCTGGCCATTGCTTGTTATTCAAGTCGCAAAACCATTCCTATCGAGAACTACCCATCCGCTATGCCGATTTTAGCCCGCTACACCGAAACGAGGTTTCGGGCTCTTTAAGCGGACTCACTCGAGTTCGACGCTTTCACCAAGACGATGGTCATATTTTCTGCCGACCGCAACAGATTAAGAGTGAGATCGCATCCGCGCTTGGATTCGTGGAGATGGTTATGACTACTTTCGGACTGGGGCCGTATCGGCTGGTACTTTCTACGCGACCGGAGAAGGACTTCATTGGTAGCCTGGAATTGTGGGACAGCGCGGAATCTCAGCTTCGCGAAGCTCTTGATAGCAGTGGAAGAGAATGGGCAGTCAACGAAGGCGACGGTGCGTTCTATGGCCCCAAGATCGATATTCAGCTCCAAGATCAAGCCGGGAAATATCACCAGCTCTCGACTATCCAGCTGGACATGAATTTACCACAGCGCTTCGGTTTGGAGTATCAGGTGGCTGAGGGAGAGGAGGACTACAATCCGGCAACCCCTGGAAGGGCAACGCCCGTGCTGGTTCATCGGGCGAACTTCGGCTCTATAGAGCGATTCCTTGCACTACTCATTGAACAATATGCCGGTCGCTGGCCATTCTGGCTGTCTCCGCGACAGGGAATTGTTTTGACGGTCAATCAGGATGAGAAAGTTCTGCAACAGGCGCATGAGGCTGCGGCTAAGATATCAGGATTCCGTGCGCTTGAGCCTGGCCAGAATGGCAACAATGCTCCGCAGCCTCTCTCCTTTGTCGACTCGACCTTTTTGATTGACGTTGACGACAGCCCTCAGACGCTAGGAAAGAAGATCCAGAGGGCCAAACAGATGAAGTACAACTTTATCTTCATCGTTGGACCTAAGGATGTTGCAGAGTCGCGTGTCACAGTGGACATCACCGGTCAACTGCAGAGCAAGCCTGACGGAAATGCCCAGAAGCTGCAGGATATGCTGGTGAGCCGGCTTGGAGAGCAGGCGGTTCAGAACCCCCGGGCGGTGCCATTAAAGGTTGACGAGGTGCACGATATTCTGGTGCAATTGGAGAAGAGATTTGTATAATAAGTGGGACACGTATGGCAAGGCCATCATGTACAATATTGATTCGTATTTATGGACGGGGGTTCCAAAGTTATAGATTGATTGGCGTTCACGCCCCGAAGCGGCTAGATTCCTAAGCTTTAAGGCTCGGCAACTCCACCGCGATCAGCTTGTCTATGTTGTCATCTGACCTTAAGCTTAAGATTATTTATTCTTAGGCAAGAAAAGTCGCTCAACAAAAAATCGCCACAAACCAGACCCCCCATTTGTGGCTCTGATTCGTCAACCGTCGTCAAACCTGCCCAGGAGACATCGTCACTACTTTCTTTTTCTGGCATCATCGCCATGGACCTTTTTCTTAATGTGGAGTGAGACGTGATTCAGAGAAGCTTTTTTTTTTTCCCTTACCAGGCCAGCCCCACGACTTAGACTCTTTCTCGCCCGAAAATCCTCCTGTTGGAGAAAATTGCCCCCTTTGGTCGTGTCTCTCATTCGCCTTCGCACGACCCCCACTCCTTTGCTCCCCTCGCTCCCCCTCTTCTCTCCTCTTGCGTGAGCCTCCAATTTCACCTCATGGCGGGTGTCGAGTATCCTAATCGGTTTCCCACCGTAAACTTGGATCCTGCCCTCGCAATTCCATGGTGGTCGAACCAAGCTCCTCTGGCACGGCCGACGTGCCGGCTAAGGCCAGTCTGCCGCGGAAGAGCGCCTTCTCGTGTGAGGCGTGCCGCAAGCGAAAGGTGGGTTCCCTCTCCTGGTATATCTTCGGATGATTTCCGAGATCACAAGCGATGAAGGATCTCCTTCGTGTACCATGCTTATTGGCACGCTGACATACTATTCTCCAGGTGAAATGTAACGGTGCTAGTCCCTCATGTTCTCGATGTGCGGCGCGCGGAGAGACCTGCGTTTATAGCTTGTGAGTGCGGATTTTCTTCCTTTCCCTCCCACTATCTCTTTCGATTTGATCCTAACACACGGCATCACCTCGACTACATGTTATAGTTCTCTACTTTATTAACTGTGTATTTTTAGAGCACCAACTTTATCGTATACCAAACAGTTAGAGGCTCGAGTCGCCCAGTTAGAAGATGCGCTGTCAAAGCTACGGAGCCAACAGCAGTCGGCCGCAGAGGTGCGGAAGGCGAGCACCCCATCATCTACCGGTGAAGGTAGGGGCAGCATGAGCCCAAGTCTTCGGACTCGCATCAAAGAAGAAGACGAAAGTAGTAGCGCCGATCTCGCGAGGGATTTCGAAGGCCTGAAGGTCGAGCACGATGGTCGAATATCTTTTCACGGCCCGACTAGTTTGTTTCAACTTCCCAGTGGTGCTCTTAACGAGGCAGCGTCGACGTCTCGTCTTGCCGTACAGCACGAAGCTCGAAAGGAAAGGTTGATCAACAATGCGTGGCGGGAAAGGGCCTTCGAACAGATGGCCACCATGCCAGTAGGTCTAACCATGAATCTTTCTTGCTAAAGGAATAACTATCCTTACACTGCTGTTTTCGTAATTCAGGAACCGTTCCAATATCTCCTCGACTCACATTGGTGCTGGATCCAGCCGCTCTTCAACTTCGTCTATCGACCAGCATTTACCCGTTCGTAACCTCGTTGCTACTGGTGGAGGATGAGAACTAACCACGAGTAGGCGATATGAAGATAAACGGTCCATACTATTCAGACGCTCTTCTCAATGCGATCCTCTCCCATTCGGTCCGGTGGTGCAAGTCCGAACCAAGAATCGGCCCTATCCTCGATTCGTTTGATGGCGGTGCACAGTTCTCCCATCGCGCCGTCTCTGGTCTATATGATTCGCTCAAAGTTGGTAATCTCGGTATTCCAACCATTCAGACATTGCTCCTGCTTAGTGCGCAAGAGTGCGGCAGAGGAAATCGGTCCCAGGCTTGGTTGTACAGCGGCATGGCTTTTCGAATGCTGGAAGATCTAGGAATATCCATCGACAGCCGCAAGTATTCGGACTCCGCTCACTTGAGCGATGAAGATATCGAGATCCGGAACCGTCTCTTCTGGAGTTGTTACTTTTGGGATAAAATGGTCTCCCTATACTTTGGCCGGTCACCTACGATGCAGCACTCGCGAGTTAGTCCGCCACGGACGGTATTGGACGACACTTCAGAGATTGAAATCTGGACGCCGCATGGCGTTGTCTTCCCGGACGGCGCTCATTATCCCCCGACTCAGGCTCACTCCACGTCCTGTTTCATGAAAATGTGCGGATTGGCGGAGGTGCTCAATCAGATCTTGATTCACATCTATGACCCTATAAGGCAGGTGTCAGAGGCCGAGTTCTACAATTGTGTGATCGAGCAAGCTCGAAATCTAGCGGAATGGTGGGATGATTTGCCCGATTACCTGAAACTGGTGCCTACAAGCCTTCCTCCGTACTCTCCGCCGAGCCACATTGTCATCCTAAAGTATGCGACCCCCACCTTCTGTATGGTTCACGTGCTTACCATTCTCTCACTGCAGTTCGCTATATCACACTATCAACATCCTTCTCCATCGTCCGATCCTCTGCTCCAAGACAAACAGAGAGTCATACGATAAGAGCCATCTGGTCCAGTGCATGACATCTGCAACAGCAATTTTGTCTCTATTTGATCTATACCGTCGCACATTCGGCGATGCCCATGTTGTCCTCTCACTTTCCTACAGCGTGTACACCGCTGCGTCGATATTCCTGCTCGAAATACAAGCTTTGAAATATGCTGCTCCCGGGACGCTAGACAAACTCAAGTTTTGCATTTTCGCTCTAGAGAGAGTGAAGGTCTCAAACCCTGGTATGTTTGTCCACTCACTCGAATATAGGGTTATTGTGCTAACGTTGGTTCTAGTGATCTCGACCGCACTCAGTCTCATCTACCAAGAGCTTCAGAAATTGCAGATCGACATCCACATCGTGCTGCCGGCTCCGCAACCGGAACAACCTCAACCTCGCTCACAACCTCCATCTCGTCATAGTCACTCCCCGTCCCAACCACAAGGTCTACCGCTGCAACAACAGCAGCAGCAGCAGCAGCAATTCCATGCCCCTTCGACTTTCAGTGATACCTCCCGTCACGTTTCCCCGTCGAATCAACCATCCCCCGATGCCTCATCCATGGCTGCCTCCGTCGCCCCATCAGGCGTGAACACCTCGTTCCTCCCGGGATATTCCTTCCAACAGCCCGTCGCGGATTTCGAGCTTTCACAGACAAGCGTCCCTCAAATGGCCGGGACTCATCTTCTGGGTGGAATGCCCAACGCAATAATGACGCTAGATAACCCTGGCTCGTACGAGATCACGCCGGAAGTCTTTGAAGCATTCTCGTATGCAGAGCCTATCACGACTAATATGACACCTGCGTTTGAGCCTCGGTTAGAGTAGTTTATGTGTTAGCGTGGAAAAGGCAAGGCTTGAGCATTCTACATTTAGAGGAGCTATAGGCGAATGGAGCATGCCTGGGTTGTTTATACCTCTTGAAAGATTATGTTGATAATTTCGCGTTCTTGGGAAAGTAGACAAAACCAGACTTTTGGTGGTATAGCTGTAATCTCTAACTTCTAACTTCTAATGGATATAAATACATAGAAGCGGGTATAAGACAACAAAACGTACAATATGTATATGCTGTGTATTGACATTAACATGCGACAAAGCTTTTCACAGAGCGAATAAAAGGGTATGTATATAGAAGAAATATTAAATCTCGTAAATATAGAGACAGAGAATAAATTAGAAGGGGCAGGGTATCCAAGAAGAAGATATTACAAGGACGTATTCTGGTACTTCGCCTGCTTAGCATCCGTGCTAGAAGAGACACTAGGGGCCGTCTCAGGCGAGTCATCGGACTTGGGCCGGGCACGCCAACGCAGGTACCACGGGGTATCGAAAAGATCGCCCATGCGCTCGATCGGCACACCCTTAGTCTCCGGCATCCAGATGCCCAGGATAACTAAACCAAGGGTACAAATAATAGCCCAGAAGAGGTAGGCGCCCCACACATTCAACGAGGCAAACATATTAGGCGTGACGCGGACCACGGCAAACTGGAAAAACCAGTGCAGCGACATGCTGATCGCGTAACACACGTTCCGGATACGGGTGGGGAAGATCTCCGTTCCGTAGAGGTAGGGGATGGTACAAAGGCCGATGGACCAGCCGACGGCGTAAACGAAGACGGAGGCGATGGCGGCGTCGGACGCGGATTTGTTGTCGGAAGAGCCGGGTTGAAGACCCATATAGACACCCATGTAAATGTGGGCCGCTAGCTGGAGACTGAGACCCGCCAAGGCGCAACGGCGGCGGCCGAACAGGTCGATTAGCCCCCATGTGAAGGCCATCGTGAAGACCAGCTTGACGATGCCGTAGGCGCCGGAGCTGATCAGCGAGGTCGAGTTGCCTGTTACGCCGGCGTACTGGAAGATCGTCGAGATGTAGTAGGTGATGCCGTTACCGCCGGTCCATTGGGCGATTGTGTGCATCGCGATGAGGAGCCAGAAGCGCTGGCGGTAGTTGGGGTTGGTTTGCGTTTCTTTGAAGGCTGTCCAGGGGGTGACGGTGGCGAGGTCACTGGCTTTGGCGCGTACTTGTGAGTCGATTAGGGCGAATTCGGCTTCGAGTTCGGGGTCGTTGATGTCTTTGCCGCGGAGGCGCGCGAGTACTGCACGGCCCTCATCGTGTTTTTGTTTGGAGACTAGGTAGCGGGGTGTTTCTGGGACAATGTAGGAGGCCATCATGGCGAGTCCGACTGGGATTAGGGGGATGGCTTGTACCAGTCGGTACTGTTTCCGGGTCGGGGCCATGTGTTGGTTGGCGCCATAATTAATAAAGAAGCCTAATTTTCAAGCATGCCGAGATGAGCCTCCGCAATCCAAGCTTTGTTGGACCCATTGATGAGATTTAGACTTACCCATAGCTAAAACGGCCAGCAAGATGACCATGTAGCAGCTAACCACAAGCCCTCTAGTTCTTGCGGGAGCTAATAAGCATTAGCAATATAGCTCCAGGATGTCTCAGGTAAACACGAGGGACCACGTACCAATCTCCGACAAATATAGCGGTGTCGTCACGGTCAGAGCTCCGGCTCCCAGACCACTCCAGATTCTCGCGAATAACAAGAGGCCATATATGCCCGAGGAGAAGACCTGGATGAACAGGCCCGACGCCCATACCAGACAAGCCAAGCGCCATGAGTTTAATCTGCCGAATCGGTCGTTCAGGTCCAAGGCGAAGAGTGCGCCGAAGGCCGCCCCCAGGACATTAAAAGAGGTGATATTCGCACTGCGGTTCGCGAGCCCCGTCTTGTCGTGGGTCCAATTGGATGCGATGAGGTTGTAGTCTTCTTTGAAAGATTCCAATTTCACGCTAGCGCTGAAGCCACCTTCGTCATAACCTGTACAAAACACGCCCGGTCAGAATTAGATTGAATATATACGATGATATAGACTAGGATCATGCACTATCTCACCTTTGGGTATGCTCCCACATGCAATAATGAAGATAACGAGAGCATAGTAGGGGTGGGTCTTCCACCGGGACCAATCCACCATGATGGCGATTGGACGGCGAGAGGATGAAGGGGGCGCAATGGAACGTGATTTGTTCGATTCGCCCGAAATCGAAAAAATCCGGGGAAATCAGACAATGACAACCACTAAGCGATCCTTCGAGATTGGAATACTAGTATTATTCTCGGGGGCAGTATAAACGAGGACGGGTACTCTCCGAACTGGAGACGGGAAGAGGACCTTTCGGCGCGATGGGGGGCAAACGGACGGCGAAGAGTTTTAAAAGAGGGCTTCCAGGTCACGCCCCCTCCGTCTCGGTCAACTTCCGCTCTGTCGCCATACTTCTCCTCCTTCAATTTAAATCTCTACTCCTCACTTGTGTAATGTCCATGAAGATCTTTTTGAGATTCATTGGATCGTGCTGTTCTAGGTTACGCCGTGCAGAAGCGACAGAAAAAAACCCTGCATCCAGTCATCTGTCACTCGGGGCATGCGGCATTTAGAGCTTTCAGAAGAACGTGTGGACTCCTATTCAACTTGGCACGGTTCAAGGCGTGGTCGTTTGTCGGTTGTCTCCGCCCATCTGAATCCACTCTCTCTTCGCTTAGTACGTGGAAGGAGAGACCCTTACTGCTGCTGGGAGACTTTGACACCGTATACGGAGTCGAAGGGATGATTGTTTTTCCTACCGTAATCACCAGAGACACTCCAAGATCTCACTCTATCATTGGTTCACTCCTCCATATAACTTCCGGTCAAATCGGATTATCCGACGTCTCCGGGAAAGAGTAAGTATATTTGATAGTATCCGCAGTCTGCTGAACTCCCTCACGGACAATCTCCGTTGTCAGCATGCCTTACTTAAGGCTTCAAGGACAGAAGATAGCCACTTCCCCTGTGGGTCACTGACTGATTCGTCCCTTTTTAATTTTTCCCCCTTCTCTTCCTGCCTTGCTTCCGGTAAAGCGAACGGGAAGTTGGCGAGACTAAATCCGCTGCTGTAAACCTGGTATTATAACTTGGCGGGCTTGGAACTAAACATGATACTTCTACGGACTTGTCTATCAAAGAGGGCAATCGGGAGAATACCCCCAACGGTCTTAGTGAGTTGAGTCCTGACAGTTCACCGTTTTGGGTCACTATATACAATCGGTGATACTCTTATCCTTTCATCATTGCACGACCCTTCTTCGTCCTCTCACCTTCGGATAACACCCTGCCGTTCTCTGCTCAACATGCTTACGTCTATCCAGCCTCGACCTGACGTCCTTGGTCCTCGTGCCTCCTTAACCACCTTCCAAAAGGGGGAGCTGTTTCCTTTCAGCAGGGATGAACAGAAACCTGTGCATGCTATCCCATTAAGACAGAGGCTTCCCGCCAAAGCATGGGATACACATATGCATGTCGTTGAGCCACATCGATTTCCAGTAGATGCAAGCGCAGTATATCAACCCTCAACACATACTATCGAGGAGGCTCTAGCGTTTGAGTCGTCCCTAGGGATCGAGAATATCGTCCTTGTGCAACCCTCAATATACGGATATGATAATTCCTGTCTTCTCGAAGCACTCAGGCGTGTCGGTCCTTCTCGCGGGCGAGGGGTCGTGGTGATTGACCCGATGAACATAGACACCCAAACGTTATCCAAATGGCATTCATTAGGCGTACGTGGAGTACGGGTGAACTTGAGATCAGTAGGGAAAGTGATGGGCCAGGACGAGCTGGCACAGACGCTATTGCAGCATGCGGAGATTGTCCGTCCTTTCGGCTGGGCTATTCAGGTCTACGTCCCCCTCGATATGATCCCACTGCTCGAGCCTATTGTCCCACAGCTCGGTGTCAAACTCTGCATCGACCACTTTGGTGGCCCGGACCTACTATCTACAAGCTGGAAAGATAGAGCCTCGTTTGACCCCTACTCGCTGCCCGGATTTTCATCCCTGGTATCCCTCCTCCGAGCGGGAGACACATATGTGAAAATCTCCGCACCATACCGGCTCAGCAAGGACCATGAAATGCGAGACATTGAGATGATGGCCCGAGAACTCCTCCGAGAGGCCCCGAGCCGCGTGCTTTTCGCGACAGATTGGCCGCATACGCGATTTCGTGGGACCGATATTGCCCCGTTCACGGAACTGTGCCTTCGGATATGCGGCAACGATGCCAAGTTGACTGAGTGGGTGTTTCGTCGGAATGCCGAAGAGCTGTTGGACGCACAAACTATGGACTGAGTGAGGGGTGCTTGGCTTCGAGGAATCACAGTGTTAACGAGTTACGACTATTACCCACCATTATACTAATCTTTTACGCTACAATATTATGAATATGAACCAATTTCACAATACGAAACGTAAATGGCGTTGAGTGATACGTCTCGGACAGGTTCCGACGTGGTTCGATAGTCTGGGCAAAACCATCGGCTGAAGGAGTGTGGAGACAGGCGACGATTCACGCTAAATTTGCATTACTACGTAGTAGACGGGGATTTAATCCGAGTGCATACTGTATAGCTGTGCACTCAGTGCCACTCACTTTATCCGAGTCGACGTGGTCGTCATCTCGCTAGTTGTAGCTCATTGAGTACTATATATCCGAGCATAGCCTTCGCAGAGTTAATACGAGTATCCCCAATACGATCGTGCATCACCCTAGGGTCACAATCGTCCTTGGCCTACCTTGTAGTATTACTCTGCTGCCTGGCATTCATAACTCACATGCTCGCTAGCTAGTATGCGTGGTTTACCCTCCGCGTGGCCCAGGATTAGTGAAATGATTGGAAGATGCGGGCTGTGAGATACGGCCGTCGTTCGTTTGTTGAAGATCCCATCCATTCTAGAAAGACCGCACACCTTGGTCTGGCATGAGTACACACGGTAGATCGAGTCGGTATTAAAAAACTGTGTGCAATGTTAAAAAGATTATAGTCGACCTAACATATATATATGTAGTTTAGTAGGGCGATGATAACCCACCATGAACAGAAATTGGTTTGAGAACATACACTTACA